TTACTTCGTGGCAGTGACGTAAGCAAAGCTTGAAACGAAATGAAGGGTTAAAAAGGGTCGCATCCAAAAATTTTCCACGTAGAAATAGATCTTGTAATAAGAAAGACAGCTGCCAAACCGCATTTGAAAACCACCTCTTGACCATTGGGATTTTCGATTTCCAGCCGTTGAATGTTCCACTTATGTATACTTCCTTCCCACCACCCTCCCACTTAAAAACGGTAGGAAGTGTTGTGTGCGACGGGGCCTCATCGGTTGTATCTCCCGATGATTCGGGACTTCCGACAACATCCATAAACACGCATGGTCGTTCAGGAGTATCCTGAATACGAGAATTCCGCAGCTGATTAGCTATCGCCTCGATCGTATGACCTTCTGTTAAGATGCTTACAACAGGATCATCGTCGTTAACAGCCTAGTAGGGAAAATTAAAAGAATTTGTAGTTGTACCTGAGAAGCTTGTAAAATAAACTTCCGTTTGGGTGGATAATACGGATTGCTCATCACACCAACGCTTCCAGTGTACTCCTCTTCAATTGAAGAACGCCTTTTCGAGGTGCCTGGAGTGTTACCCATGGTAAAGTTATCCGGAAGTGAAAGAACCGGCGCGATTCAGGCTATGCACACAGCATATGACACTTTCCAGCCTCCACGACGATTTTAACCAATGGAAAAACAGGTTACAATATACAGTTTTGATTAGTTCAAGTGATCGTTGTTTTAATAATCAAACTTTGTAAAATACGATGATATATAATGATAATGTAATGATAATAATAATAGTATAATAGCATGATAATACAATGATATAGGGTGTGTATTTGCTAAATAATATAACTTGTTTACTTTTCAGAACCTTACAGTTAGCGGGCAGCGTATAGACAAAAATGTGGTTCAATACTTTGTGGCATCTGAGACTTCCCATATGAAAAAGGAAGGCTTTAAAAGAGACTGGATGCATGAATTCCGAAGATAACAAACTGAATGGACCTGAGCATGGCCCGAAGGCCAGCCAACGAGCACAAGATTCAGACGAATCCTAAAGTGACCGTCGAGCGTCACGTAGTCAAATAAACAAAGCATAACATTACCCTTCTCTTCTTTTGAGCGACGTCTGCAGAGCTTCTTTTGTTGCACTTCTCGCGCCAGCCATCAAAGCATGTTTGTTGCTATAAGAAACCACCTATGAGAAACGGGATAAGCCACCTTCCCGTAGGTAAGGAGATCCGCAGTGTCATTTCGGATACCTTTGCACGGATTTTGTGGGGATTTTCCGACATGAAACTTTTCCAGATGGTTCACGGCGGTGTCGCTTCAATTGTTAACAGCTTTTCTGTGGAACACGGGAATAAGGTGAAGTCATATGCCGACGTCGGTCTCGACCCTTTCGTTGTGAGGGTTTCAGAGAGTCTTTGCCACCGATGCAAATGCGCCTCCCGTACACCGTGGGTGCATGCCACAAACGGTACGTGCAAAGATAGCGGTTATTGGAAAAATGTCCGTTTTG